TGTGTAGCTGTCGCTGGAGGGACAGAAAGCTCTCGATCTTCATTTGTGTTCCGAGGATGAACAAAACTCATATGTGTTTTGGGTGAATAATTAAGGAACACAAGATAATTTGTATATTTGAGTGAACTATCCCTTTAAAGCATTTATAATACCAAACTCTCTCAGAAATGTTTTTTTTTTGAGTATGAAGACTCTTGATTCATATAAATCAACGGATCGAAATTGATTCAGAAATGTCCGTGGAGAGTAACACCCATGCAGCTGGTTTCAATAATGACTCAAACTTGATGCTGTCAGTAGAGACGTTGATGAAGTGTTCGGTTCAGCATGACACGTTTGTCATCTCTTCTTTCTGTCTTTCCCCTCCCTTTCCCTGCTGTGTAACACACAAACCACTGCTTGAATGAAACCATGTGTGTTATTAGTTGGGTGTACGGTGCAAGGAGACAGTCAGCCGTAGATTGAAGTGTGGTTGGACAGTTCTTGACCCCTGTAAAACTGCCACTTTATTTGTAAGCTTCTCTGAGTTTGTGCGGTACTGTGGTGGGTATTCAGAATAGTTTGGACATTGTGAAACATGTTTTTAGGAGTAGAAGGATTTTTGGGATTTAACTGGTAACTTCCTTATTGAATCGACTCGGATTGCTCTCAACTGTAGGTTTGTCCAACTCGAGGGGGACTTTAGAGAAATGTGTGTTACGAAGAACCCTCTAACCAGGAAAAAGGTCATATGGAAACTTTTGGGTTCATTCATTATCATTTGTTTTGTCCTTTGCGGACTAAATATTTCATATTATTGGCAAACATCAAGACCCTAAAATGTATTTATGAATGCATGTGAATGATCAGAAAATTCAAGATATGGGGGTTAAAAAAATGTATATATTTATATTATTTTATGTAGTTAAAGGACAACTCCGGCGCAAAATGAACCTTTAGTCTAATTACACATTGTTACCTAGTCAACCGTTTTCTGAGATTTGTTTTCATGATTGCCGAATGTAAATAGTTTTATCTCTAAAAACAGTTTAGCCTATAACGCTAGTATATAGGGCATAGAGTAATGACAAATAAAAATCGCTTGTTATTACCACTAACACGGCTCAAAATAGCCCCACAGTAACACAACAGCATAATAAGTGTCCCTACATTCAAACCGAAGCATTGAGAACTTTGTAAGTGTCCATACAATTAAATAAGAAGATATTTTATACACACAGTAAACTTCGCGAATACAGGAAGAAGCCATCTTGGAAAAATAGTCTCTACTCTCTACCAGTCGATCTACGAACGCCGATCCAAGTGCGCTGGTGAAATGTGAATATAAGGTGAGCGCGAACAGTAGGCTACGTGTATATATTGAAGAGAAGAAAACGGTTTGTGTTTCTACTGGAAACAACGGACCATATGAGATTCTGCACAGTTCAGCGCACTTGGATCGGCGCTCGTAGATCGACTGGTAGAGACTTTTTTTCAAAGATGGCTTCTTCCTGTATTCGCGAAGTTGACTGTGTGTATAAAATATCTTCTTATTAAACTGTATGGACACTGACAAAGTTCTCAATGCTTCGTTTTGAATGTAGGGACCCTTATGTTAGTGTGGGGCTATTTTGAGCCTTGTTAGTGCTAATAACAAGCGATTTTTATTTGTCATTACTCTATGCCTATATACTAGCATTATACTAGCGTTATAGGCTAAACTGTTTTTAGAGATAAAACTATTTACATTCGGCAATCATGAAAATAAATCTCAGAAAACGGTTGACTAGATAGCAATGTGTAATTAGACCAATGGTTCATTTTGCGCCGGAGTTGTCCTTTAATCAATATCACACGAAGAGTGCCATTTCAGTTTTTCTCCACCAAAAACCTGCATGATTAAAATGTGATATTAAGTAATTACAACAGTTAAATAAGCAATAATCTAATTACAACTACAAAATGTTGCAGAATAATGTAATATATGGATGAATAATAGCCTATAAAGAATCTTTGTGGCAAAAGGGTTCTTTCTTGTCATTATAGAACCTTTTTTAGCATAAAAGTTTCTTTGGAGTTGAGTAAAGAACCCTATTCTTCATATATAGAACCCATTTTTCTAAGAGTGTAATGATGAGGTTGAATAATAGGAGGAAGCAGGATCCACGTGCAGCACACTTTAATAAAATAAACTCAAAACTTCTCAAATTCAGACATAGGCTCAAGAAAAAGACTCTGGAATAGGAATACAGTCATAGACTCGGGAACAGGAACGGAACAACCAACGTTACAACATCAAGACTCACAAAGACTGAACTAGACACAGGGATTAAATACAAGGGGGCGGGACTAATCAGAAACACCTGGGAAGAGTAATAAACAAGAAAAACTACAAAAGACTACAAAACATGGCACAGAACAGGAAATAACAAAAGTCCCCACACAAGACAGAGGTCTCCACAGTAACGCATTATAATAATTCATTTTTGTTAAATTAGTTAATTAACATTAGTTAACGCATTGACTAACATAAACTAACAATGTTTGTAAAGCATGTTAGCTAATCAGAAAGTTATTGTAAAGTGTAAAAATTTCCCTTTAAATCATTCAAATTACTGACTAGTTCTTCATACAATCTTTTATTTAAAATGCATGTTTGAAGCACAGAAACATTTAGAGCACAGAATGTATTTTTTTTTTTATTTAGGCCCAAATATGCTGCAAAAAAAAAAAAAATCCTATGAGCAACACTCCTTTATAGTATTAATAATAAAATAAAGTAACAGGTTCATGATTAACAACAGATCATTGAATAGATACAATAGACACACACAAAGTCACATGTACACACTCCCATAATACTTCATTCTCACGCTTTTGAGCCGACACACAATAACACCCTCATAAAAAGACATATGGTTATGCACATGACTCAAAAGCAGACACGCGCCCACACAAATGAATCTGTGCTTCTCTCACTTCTCTACGCGCTCTTGTTTTACAGTCTGCATAGTCTGAATGTCATTGATTGGAAGGAGATATGTTGCTTGAACAGAAAGAACAGAAACTCGCACACACAGATCCTCCAGCTGTCGCAGTGATGGGGAACAGAGTGTTCTTGTTTGCGTCCTGGACAGAGAGTTCGATGTGTGAGCTAATGCCTTCAAAAAGGAGTCCTCCCATATTCCCCAATTGAACTCAGTGTCTCATGTTCCACTCAGGATTTAAAACACATCAGAGAAATTCATAGAAAAGATAGAAATAACACGATAGACACAGTTAGGATGGCTAATTAAAAAAATGGCAAATAGTATTTAACTTGTCAGAAGCCTTTGATAAATGCACCCACATTATTTAAAAAGGACATGTTATGCACTTTTACAAAGTCTCGATTTAGTTTTTGGGGTTTACTATAGGTTTTCATGCTTGAATGGTCAAAGACAGCTTATTCTTCATATATTTTACATTTTTGCATTGTTCCTTCTCCCAGTCTGTCTGTAACACTCTCTCTATGAAGCCCTTTCTTCCAAAAGTCGCAGTGTGCTCTGATTGGTCGGCTGGACCAGGGTGTTGTGATTGGTCAAGTGTTTGGAGCGTGTTCCCTTTCCATAAACGCAACTTAACCAGGCCTTACCCCTTTTTTCCCCGGATGCCTTGGGAAGGAATCATTTACATGTGTATGTTGTGTATGCTTCCGGAAGAAAACTGAAGACTATAATCAATGTGTTTCAGGGAGAAACAGTGCTTTACTGATATAGAGAAAAATCCCTTTGGTGGGACTTTGTGCTTCGTAACTTTGCCAACCGTTTTAATGCTCAAACAACAAAAATTACACACTAAAGAAAGTTAGAAATTTAAAAAGCTTAATAGGTCTCCTTAAATAATGTTGGCTTAAATGTAATAATTTCTGTGGATTTTTAAGTTTCCTCTCTTCGTTTTAGCTTTATTTTTTTTGTTAATTAGTGGGGATTTATAAGTAGGGATGGGCAACGATTAATTGCGATTAATCGCATCCAAAATAAAAGTTTGTGTTTACATAATATATGCGTGTGTAGTGTGTATAATTAATTATATTTATTAATTATATAAATTATATATATATAAATACACACACTTGCATGTATATTTAAGAAATATTTGCATGTATGTATATATATATATATTTACACATAATTAATATTATATATAAATATAAATATTTGATATATTAACACATTTTTCTTAAATATACACATACATGTGTGGGTATTTATATATACAAATTAATTATACACACTACACACACATATATTATGTAAACACAAACTTTTATTTTGGATGCGATTAATCGTTACCCATCCCTATTTATAAGGCAAATTGTTATTTATCATAATGTGATGTTTTTTTTTTTTGTTTTTTTTTGTTTTATTTAAATAATACATTTTGTCTACCATTGATGAAAAATGATGAAAATGATCTTGACTTAAAAATGGGTTTCCCATCATCATCATCTGCTGCTGCACGGGAATGATAAAATGCACAGATAAAGCATAATTTTCACACCTATTGTGCATCCTTTGCTATTCATTGGGATTAGTTAGTGCTAAACAAGCTTTCTGCCTTTGTAAGGAAGTGAAAAAGAGAGAAACATTGTTCAATAAGTTCATTGTATTCCACCCAAAAAGTCTTGACACACATCCTAGGAGCGCTTAAGTATTTAAGAAGTTCAATTCAATTCAATTTACATTTATTTGTATAGCGCTTTTCACAATACGTAAAAACAGACACTCAACTGCGCAAAAAAGAGAGAAACGTAGAAAATGAAGTGTACCTGGGCCATTTGTGTCCAAATTCAGTCGCTCATTTTCTTATTTAGGAGTGCACACTCCATCAGAAATAATTTTGGCTGCTCAAGAAATATTTGCTTGCTCGATAAAAGTATTTATTTATTTATTTAAAATAGACCTCAAACTTTTGAACCGTAGTGTATTCACGTTTTAGAAATACACATGATCTCCATTTCTGTCTCTTTCTGTCCTCAGCATCAGTGAGAGCTTTCTAACAGTGAAAGGTGCCGCCCTTTTTCTTCCACGTGGGAATGGCTCCTCCTCTTCCTCATCCTGCTCCTCCAGAATTACAGGACAGCGCAGCAAACATGCAGGTATGGACAACACATGCAAACAAGGAAATAAAAAGCATATGACCATTTATGATTAATGAACCATTTTACTCTCTTTGTGCAGGGGACATTCAGCAGCACCTGCAGACCATGTTCACTTTACTGCGGCCAGAGGACAACATCCGTCTGGTGAGCAAAACACACAATCCCATGTAGGCAATAAAGTTTTGGAAAAAATCAAGCATGAATACTTGCATTGCATTGCAGCAACCTTAGTGAATTCTAAGACCGGATCATAATAAAAAGCTAAAAGGCTTATCTAAAATATTGTTTTAGCTGCACGCTGTGTGGTTGACTTTGTAAATATTGCAACTTACAACTTTCATACAATGGCAACACTACAAAACATTACAGTATAAGTTAAATTAATTAAAGATCGTAGTAAAAGACAAAATTCAAAATATATATATCCACTATCAAAAGTCTGGGTTCGGTGGGTCTCTAGTCTCTAATGCAGAAGTCTCTTATATAACTATTATTTTAATATAGTGAAATATTATTGAAATTTAAAATAACTGTTTTCTATTTTAACGTATTTTAGAATGTCCTATAAATACAAATATATCATATATCCAGTCTTATTGTCACATGATCATAATTATGTTAGTTTAAACTGTGAAAATAAAATAAAAAATTGGGTAACACTTTACAATAAGGTCCATTAGTTAATGTAGCAACTAACATGAACTAACCATGAGCAATACATTTGTTACTGTATTTTTTAATCTTTGTTGATGCTAGTTAATAAAAATAAAGCTGTTCATTGTTTGTTCATGTTAGTTCACAGCGCATTAACTATTGTTAACAAGATTTGAATAAAGTATTAGTAAATATTGAAAGTAACATTTACAAAGATTAATAAATGCTGTTAGTTCATGCTAACTAATGTAGTTAACTAATGTTAACTAATGAACCTTATTGTAAAGTGTTACCAAAATTTGTTTATTAAAATGTTTTGTAACATTATACATCTTTACTGTCCTTTTTTCATCAATTTAATGCATCCAGGCTTAATAAAAGTATTTAAAAAAATAAATCCATAAAAGGCTAATATATTGATGCAACGTTTTCTGAGGAGACTATTTGCCTTCCCTACAGGCTGTGCGGTTGGAGAGCACCTTCCCCCAGTGCACCCGCTACATGGTGGTGGTCTCCACCAACGGTAGACAGGACACAGAAGAGAGCGTGGTGCTGGGCATGGACTACAGCCCTTCCGACAGGTCTGTGTGTGCTGCTGCTTGTACTGTTAAGTTAAACCAATCAAAAGTTTTAACGACAAATAAGTCATTTTTTGGGGGGTGTTGCAGTTCCTTTTCCATAGGCATGGTGCTTCCTCTCTGGAGTGACACACGGATCCACCTGGATGGTGACGGGTAGGTGTGGCATATCTGTTAAAAATGACCAATGCACTTCTGATCCTCCTCTACTGTAGATAGGTTGTTCAGATTGTGTTTCACTCCTCTGTTTTCTTCACAGGGGTTTCAGTGTGTCTACAGATAATAGGATACACATATTCAAGCCAGTCTCAGTCCAAGCCATGTGGTGGGTGCTTTTCTTTTCTTCTTGAGATTCATTAAATATATATATATATATATATATATTATCAGGTTTAAGTAGTGATGCACTGAAATTACTTTTTGTTACCGAAACAGTGAAATTGACATTAAGGCTTTCATATTTATTTCTTGCTATAACTAGTAGTAAAGAGAGTGCGCATGTACATGCTGTTTCTTGAACTGAGGCGATCTGTCACCAAAAAGACATTTATTGTAGAGGTAGACCGATTAATCGTCCGATTTTTGGCATTTTTTAACATAATCGGCATCGGCCAATATCCAAGTGCATCAAGCCGATTATTAGGCAGGCGCATCTGTGGGCAGCCTAGTGTTGTCGTGGTCATTTTCCAGCCGAGTAAGCAGCAGACCTAACTGAACGCGTTCAGGCACAACACTGACCGTTAGTTAGTAGCTGGATTAAACATGGCTAAAATGCTGGCCAAACAGTGTAAAGAGTGAGTGTATTTCACTGTAGACTAAAAGGTCCAACAGCGGGATGCCGTTGTCTGAAGAACAACAGACGGACGGTGCGTTGTGGTGCATTTAAAGTTTTTGTAAAATATCGTTTTCCCATCTGGTGGTTGTTTTTGTCGTTCAACAGCAATTTACAAGTGAAATACGTTATTGTTAGAAGTTAAATTGAATAAAATATAATAAATCTTATAAATAAAAAAATTAAATCATTTAAAGTTTTTTTTTCTCCTTTTTTTTTCTCCTACAGAACAAACCAAAAAATACATGTTTCAGGACATTTTTTGAGAGGATAAAATGTTTTTGTTGAGAAAGTTTGTCTATTAAGTAATTATCATTTCTTTTACATTTTATCTTTCAAATAGAGGTTAAAAACCAAGCAAATATCGGCCAAAATAAATCGGCAGCATTAATCGACCCAGATTTCAAAAGATCGGTATCGGCATCGGTGTGAGAAAAACCATATCGGTCGACCTCTAATTTATTGTTTGAATTTATTGATAAAATTGACAAAATTTGAAAGGGACTTTGATTGTGTTTATTGGATGAAAGGCGCACTACAAATAGTGTTTAGAGACATTTTATTTTTGCATATAATAGACCAAAATAAAGATGAATTAAAATCGAGAAATCGATATTGTCCACACAGCTGACATGTTTACTTGTTGTAGCTTATCCACAATTTTTGCAGGAAATAGACACGAGAAACGCTAGTTAAATGTCACTGTTTTTTGTTTTTCAGTTTTTTAACACATTTTCTGAATTTGATATGATAACTGTTTCATACAAATGCAATTGGAAATTTTACAAAAATAGTCAATTGGCCTCTTTTAATGCAGAATTGTGTTCTGCTAACATATTTATTTTTTTGTTATATATTTAATTAAATTAGATTTTCATAAAAATGAGCTATATGCATCTTATTACAATATATATTACTGTATGATTAAATTTAAAAAATGTAAAAAAAAATTAGATTGATTAATATGAGTGCTTTGACATTTAACATTGATTTATTGAATCACTTGACCCTCATTTGTTCCTTAAGGGTTTGATTAATGTCAATACTGGGCTATCATTGTACCTAAGAAAGAATTTTGTTATCAGTCCAACTTTAGTTGATATGGTGGCATGTTTTGATATGGAGCACCTCTTTTTCTCAGGTCAGCCCTGCAGTCTCTTCATAAGGCCTGTGAAGTGGCCCGCTGTCATAACTACTTCCCAGGCAGCCTCTTCCTGACCTGGGTGAGCTACTACCAGAGCCAGATGTCCTCAGATCAGTCCCGCATCAACGAGTGGAACGCCATGCAGGACGTGCAGTCCCACCGCGCAGACTCGCCTGTGCTCTTCTCTGATGTGTGAGTACTCATTTGTCAGTTATCCTGCAATTTGAGCGAATTTAAGCCAGTTTTGATGCATCATGGGACTTCATATATGTGCTTTTTCGAATACTACCTTTCATGTAGTGTGTTAAAAAAAACTATTGTGAATGTAAAAGGTCTGCAAAGTTTCAAAGATCGTGTTTCATAATTGAACACGGGCTTGAATTGATACGCTAAAACCAACGCCATTGTTGCTATTCACATCAGGTGCTGAGGAAGGAGCTGAAATTTCATTTATAGTAATGGGTGTTTTCTTTCTGACACACACTGTAAGCAGTAGACCAATCACAACAGATTATGCCATCTGACCAATGAGAGTAGAGCAGGGTCTTGAAAATGAGGGGTTTAGATCCTTGATTAAATTCCAGACACTGTGAGAAAAGAAAATTACATTGGAGGAGACCTTCAAAACAAAATTAGGAACCTTTAAAATAGCATAATAGAGGCACTTTAAAATAAGACACCTTTTTTTTCTAAATCCCATTCATTAATCAAATATTTGGCCTGCAAAGTTGTACTAGTGTATGTGTGTTAGGTTTGAACAAAACATTTCTTTTCATTTTTAAAAAATATTTTTTGGAGTGGTTTTGAAGCTTTAACAGAATTGTGATTTTTTTTTTGTGTGTGTGTGTGTGTGTGTGTCTCTCCAGGCCAACTGAGAGAGAAAGAACAGAGAGACTCATCAAGAATCGCTTGAGAGAGATCATGACGCAGAAGGACCTTGAGAACGTCACCTCAAAAGATGTATGATGCAAATACACATCCTAAAAAATCACTTCCTGGATGATTTTATTCATTCTGTAGAATCTTCTCACGCTGTACCTGCACACACACACACTCCTCTTTAGATCCGCACGGAGCTGGAGATGCAGATGGTGTGTAACCTACGGGAGTTTAAGGAGTACATTGACAATGAGATGATCGTCATCTTGGGGCAGATGGACAGGCCCACGGAGATTTTTGAGCATGTTTACCTGGTGAGAGTGATGTCACCCACACATTTCAATCATACATTTCAGTTACATTGTATCATCAGTCATTTTTGGAATTGTAATTATAGGGTTCTGAATGGAATGCATCGAATCTGGAAGAACTACAAAACAGCGGGTGAGTTTTGTTGACGTCCTCGTCTCATGCCTGCAAGTAGAAGCTACTTGAATGTTTTAGCCATAAACCTGTTATCTTTTATATTCTCTTTGAAATGTGTTCCTGGCGTTAATGATTATACAGATTTTTCGGTTGTGTCTTTGTGTTTATCATCAGGGTGCAATACATCCTTAACGTGACGCGGGAGATCGATAACTTCTTTCCAGGGCTATTCGAGTACCACAATATCCGGGTTTATGATGAAGAGGTCACAGACTTGCTGGCTTACTGGAATGACACTTACAAGTTCATTTCTAGAGCCAAGTGAGTGGGAATAACCTCCTAATGCTCACTTTGGAGTAAAATGCACTGCTGTTCTAGCTGTCATTGTTGTAAAGTTGTTTCAAACTATTCTACTTTGAATCATTTTAGTAACGCTCAAATGGACGCATCTATGGTTTTGAAAATATTTTATCAATGCATTATTCTAGGGATATAACTAAATTGAAAACCTGGATGATGCTGATAAAATATAACCGATAACTAATAAAATGATTATAATCATTATTATAATAAATATTAATACAATATTGAAATTCAAAATAAAAAAAATGGGTTTAAATGTTAATTTAGGCATCACAACATTGTAAAGAATGAAAAATGAAGCATTTTTCAATATATTGTGCAATCCTAATTACTTGATCCTTTATATGCAATATAAAATATAACAAAATGGCACACCTTGTAACACTGTGTATCATAAAATGGCATATTAAAATATGTTGAGGTGTCCGACTAGCTGTTACTATTGCAATTGCTGACATTTTTTTAAATGACGACACAATCAGAATTTTCTTTTCAACAATTTGTTTTTAATTAATTTTATACAAGGAAACAACGGAATAATACAAATGCTCACAATCCAAATTAATAAGAACTCAAACTCATAAGAAATCAAATAACAGCCAGAAAAGTTATAAGGATAAAAGAAGTCCGAATGTTCATCAGATTCAGGTTTGACATGGTATTAACACTTTTCAGTCAGAAACTCGAAATTACAGTCATTCTGATATAATGTGAGTATAAATGATCGGTAGTTTTGGGTTCAAAGTCTCTTTCAGAAGAACGGTTTCTAGGTTTCAGATAGTCATTCAGAAGTCAGAAAGAAATGATTCTTTACCAACATGTACTAGCAGCACTACATCCATTTGTTTTAAACACAAGACTAATCTGATACCTACAGGAAAGCAGGGGCGAAGTGTCTGGTGCATTGCAAGATGGGCGTCAGTCGTTCGGCCTCCACTGTGATCGCATATGCCATGAAGGAGTACGGATGGGACCTGCAGCAGGCCTTTGAGTATGTTAAAGAGCGGCGGGCCGTCACCAAACCCAACCCATCGTTCATGAGACAGCTGGAAGAGTATCAGGGAATCCTGGTGGCAAGGTAAATATGTCACTTGAAAGTGTGTGAATAGTAGGAAACGTCTGTGTGCATTCAAATATTTAAACATGCAAGTATGACAGTCACTTAAGTGACCGTAGACACGTTCTGCTCCATGTTAATGACACTGTTCTTTACACAGTTGATTATAGGGCTCTGATTGTATTGTTTGAGAAGTTACATTGGCTGTTAGACCACATTCCACTTAGTAACTTGTGTGTCACAGAGATTGTAGGTTTGTGCATGTGGGCTTTGGTGTGGGTGGGTATGCATTTGCAACACAATGTAAAATTACTGAATGGGGTTAGGGTTAGGTCCTTCACTCAATCCAAAGATGGATCCATATTATTAGTGCTGTAGCGGCGCGTCGATGACGTCGATTATTCGACGTCAAAATTGCGTCGACGTCATATTTTTGCGTCGACGCTTCTTTATTTATTTATTTTTTGCATGTTCCCGGCGGTACAGCTTGCCACACACACGTGGGAGACCGAAACATTTCAGAATAGAGGACGAAGACAACTTGAAGTGAATGTGCTATCCATTAAATGAATCACACACACACACACATAAACAAGGCTTTACTCCGTGTCAGCACGCGCTCTGATCAGTAGGTGCACAAACCTCTCCCGATTCATCTCCAGTAGTAGCAGACTCCGATCGCACCACTAACTCCGCCTCCGTTTCCCTCCTCAGCTGATATTAATATTTAAACATTCTCTATGATAAAAAATGTTTGTAAAAAATATTTTAATAACACGGTTTTGGCGGTTGTAGAGTTATAATGATGGTGTGTTCAAATACATAACATTAGACTAACGTTAGCCAGCTTATAGTATCTTGATTCAGTATGCCAGTATTTATTTGAGATATTGTTTTTTTTAATAATTGAGCAGCAGAAAAAATATTCTTTATATTAGTCGTCCAATTAGTCATTAGATTAGTCGACTAATCGATAAAATAATCGCCCAACTAATCGTTTAGTTAATAATCGTTTACCCCAGCCCTACATATTATACACAGTCGTAACATTTTCCCACTGAAGTTTTATATTTACATCGCGCGCGCTCTGTTTCTGGCGCACTTCAAGCACTCGCTGGGCGGGGGGAGATTGATGCACCGGACCGGAGTCGGGGGACTTAGTTAAGTTTTTGTGGAGTTGTTTTGCTTTATTTTGTAGTATTTCTAAATAATGGGTTTAAAATAGTATTAGTTAAAAAAAAAAAACATACAAAAAATTCACTCGGTCACTCATTTTGGCGCCCCTTGAGTGGTAGCGCCCTTAGCATTTGCCTATACCGCCTATGCCACGGGCCGGCCTTGACGCCGTTGACTTAACGTTACGTTACTGTATGTATAAATATATGACCTACCCCAACCCCGTCCCTAAACCTACCCGTCACTGGGGTTAATAACATTTATGAGTGTTCCCCTACCATCCTACGAAAAAAAAAAATATCACTCCCCAGATGTAGATCTACATTTTGCTTTGTTTCGCTCGGACATATACGCGGATAGCTCAAAATGCGTATAGATAACATGCCACTTGACTTGAAAGTGGCGTGTATGTTTACGCAAAAGTCATGATGTCATGTTGCACTAAACGTATTTGATTGTACTGGCTATTGCCGCTCCCTGCATGTTTAGCTTACTCCCCCTTTTTTCTTTTCTCTATACTAGCAAACAGAGACACAACAAGTTGTGGCGTTCCCACTCGGACAGTGATCTGTCGGACCACCACGAGCCGCTCTGCAAGGCCACTGCTGCACAGTCTCTCGGACGCTCCAATTCCCGTAACCAGACCTTCTGCCAGACGTCACCCTCGATACAGGATCTACTGCAGACTCTCACACCCACCGGAGTTAAGGAGCAGGCGGCGCCCTGCTCAGATACTCGCATTTACAACGGCCTGGGGAACCCAGACGACAACCTCCATGAACCCACAGAGACCCTCTTCTTCCCAAGACGCAGGGCTGCCACTGTGGTCCCAGAGGCCAGGTCTAATGTCAGCCCTGTGCCCATTACCGAGACGGTCTCGCTGTGTCGTCCTCATCAGCCACCTTCGTCCCCCAGGCTTCTCTCGGATGCAAAGGCCAATCAAGTACTGCCTGAGCAGCCTGAGGTGTCCAATCTTGTGCCTTTGGAGAAGTCTAGTCCAAAGGTCCTCTCATCTATGAACGTTAGGAGTAGGACTCCTGAACCATGCACAGAGGCCTTGGACTCCTCAGGGCCGCAGGATCTCAGCCAGCAAGTGCCTAACACGGAGACAGACTGTCGCTGCAGTGATGAAGACCACCACCCCAGTGCCACATCTACCACCCCTCCCTCCACTCTAAGCACAGACCGCATTGACTTCTTCAGTGCCAGAGAGAAGTTCCAGGGCCTTTCTCAGGAGGGTCAGATCCGCGGGACTTCTGAGCAGGCGTCGCAGCAGGCACCTCGGGACAAAAGTCCGAGCGTAGAGACCAAACGACTACTTCCTGACAACCCTATTAAAGAGGAGGAACAGAAAAAGGTAAGGGAATTTTGGAGTGTTTGAAACTTCTCGTATTAGTATTGAAAATTTTGTCATCGCTTACTCACCCTTATGTCATTCCAAACCTGTACGGCTTGGTTTCTTCTGTGGGACACGAGTAAAGATGCTTTAAATACTGTCCGTTAAATGAAAGTCAGTGGGGAAAGTTTTACTGGTTTGGAACAACATGGTGAGTAAAGGGGCTTTTCTGTAAAAAGAATCAAACCAAACTCACCCCCATGTCATCCAAGAAGTCCACGTCTTTAAAAGAAATGAAGGTTTTTGATGAAAATATTGCAGGATTTTTCTCCATATAGTGGACTTCAATGGGAACCAAACAGTTCAAGGTCCAAAAGACAGTTTCAGTGCAAACTGCAAACTGTTCAAAGGGCTTTAAACGAGTCCAGATGATGAATAAGAGTCTTATCAAGTGAAACGATCGCTCATTAAAAAAAAAAACAAGTTTAAGTTTTATAAGCTCAAATGGTCGCCTTGCTCTCCTGTTCGAACTCGTTCATCAAAATGAACAAATCTTTTCCCAAGTCAATTCGTTCATTTCGTGCGTTGAATGAATCAAATGACACGAAAAAAGATTCGTTCATTTTGATGAACGAGTTCGAACAGGAGAGTCACGAACGGGCATCACAGAACAGAGCAAGGCGAACATTTGAGCTTATAAAACTTAAATTTGTTATTCATTTATTAAATGAGCGATCGCTTCGCTTGATAAGACCCTTATTCATCGTCTGGAATCGTTTAAAGCCTTTTGAACAGTTTGCAGTTTGCACTGAAAGTGTCTTTTGGACCTTGAACCGTTTGGTTCCCATTGAAGTACATTATATGGAGGAAAATCCTGGAATGTTTTCATCAAAAACCTTCATTTCTTTTCAACTGAAGAAAGAAAGACATGGACATCTTTGATGACATGGGGGTGAGTAAATTATCAGCAAAAGTTTTTTTAAAAGTGAACTATTCCTTTTAAGTATGCATTAGTGTGCTACCATTCTATAATTTCTATAATTTTAAGTTTAATTAATTTCTTACTTGCAGAAAACAAAAGAAAAGCACAGTGTTAACCATCAATGAAATAAATAAATGTCTATGAATTAATTATTTAGATAGCTGGACAAATCTTTGAATGTATCTGTCTTAATATTATGTTATCGTCCTGCAGCAAGGCAATAACGTTCCAGAGAGTAAGTGTCAAACTTTATTAAAATCAGGATCCGTTCTCATATTGTGTCTCACCATAGCCATGTTTGAGTGAAGTCTCATGCCCCACACTGCCACCCACTGTTGATGAGAAATGTTGCATGGGATCATTCATCTGTCATGGTGTTGATCAATCTGCTGAAGTTGCATTGGAGTTTTATGCACATGTAGAGTGAAAGGTGAAGTGTGTCATTTTGTGACATTTAAAATGCTCTTACCCATTCCAGTTCCATGTTCCTGTTTACACTAGGGGTGTAACGGTACACAAAAATCACGATTCGGTACGTACCTCGGTTTTAAAGTCACGGTTCGGTACGTTTTCGATATAGCAAAAAGAAAGAAATGCCAGAGAAATTTCCTATTTGTTAAAACATTTTTAAATAAGTGTTTTCCTACATCTTGAAACTTTCAGGTTTATAAATGGGAGTCATCTTTGAAGGATGAACAAATAATGTTTTGGTCACCACATTAAAAATAACATTTAAATATATATTTATTTATTTATTATTTGAGTTTTGAAGTGCTGGAAAAAGATGTGTGAAGTACTTGAAAGCATTTCACCATTCCGGCCAAACTGGTTATGGTTAGTGTTACTATATTAAATCCATGGTGAAAGTTGCTGGTCTGTATTACTAGTTCATTCACGGCACAATGTTTCTCCTGGTTTCCACATCAGCACTGTTTGATCTAGTAGAGATCTACGGTTAATAACGGAGAAATGTGAATGCTTATCACTAGATCTCACAGCAATGTTATTACTTCAGTGGCGAATTCAGATGTTTTCTTTACCGGATCTCTTAGCGCTGTGTAGTAACAGTGTCGCTTGATCGAGATGGGCTCGCGCTGCTCAGACATTGCTGTTCCGAACTGATAAACGATCCGTGAAGCACATAATGAGTAGCGCAGTTTCGTTCCGCTTTTTTTTACGCTTGCCATTTGATTTTGCGCAACGTTGCAGTGGCGCGAATTTTGTCGGCAGGAAAAACGTTCCAAGGAATCGTTCGGTTTGTATGCGCCTCGAACCGAAACGGTTCAATATGAATACATGTACCGTTACACCCCTAGTTTACACTAAAAGAACACCAATCGTACTGTATATTGACTAACAGCAGCTGTTTCCATTCCAGTTGCAAATTTAATACATACCAAAAATCTGAAAGTCCCAAAAACAACTTTGGAATAAAGCAGCGTTTCCATCCGATATGTTCAGAAGAGCAAAATTGTCGCTTCTGGGGAAATTGGTGCAAAATATTAATGGAAATGGAAGTTGGAATCACTGGAAAGCCACGATTCCTCTTTTTTTATTAAATGTATTCGATGGTTCAGTAATTGTAGCCAGTCATCTGTCAGGTTTTGGCTCCCACATTTTAGAATGATGTCTAAGCTAACCCCTCTGCCACAAGACTGCTTGACACAAAAGTCACATGTTTTGAATTTATTCCACCACCCAGAATGCCATAGCAATTACTTGGTAACGCCCTGGCAAGCATTGTTCACATTTTATTTAGAGCCAAACCGATATATCGGCAGGCCGATATTAGACATTTTCTAAAATATCGGTACCGGCAGTTATAAATGAATATTTCAAAAATAAAATAAAAACGGACGAAACACGCTTGAACCATGTCATGAGTGTTGGAGTTGTATAGTTTGTCCACCAGAGGGCACTCTACACCGTCCCTGTTGGCAACACTCGTGTATAACGCGCCACATCCTGCAACCTGCTGATCCAGCCAGAGTCGTGCAGAGAGAACCAGTTATGCATTATCATAATATTTTAGTTAAAACTCATAATTAACTACAAATAACTAATGTTAGGGAAATCTGTTAATATTTTGTTGCGCGTTTCTGAAATAAAAAAAAAATTACTAACAATATCGGCCGATATATCGGATTTTAAAACCAACAAATATTTGTATTGGTATCGGCCTTCAAAATCCTTTATCGGTCGGGCTCTAATTTTATTTATTGTTGCAATTCTCCTTTGTGACACTAGAGGCACAAAAATGATACACTTCGCCTTTAAATCACAAAGTAATGGATACACACATGTTCAATTCAACTGACCACCGCATGCCCCTGTGTTTCTGCTACAGGAGAGCTGCAGTGTCTCAGTCCATAACATAGTTTCAGAAATGGAGTCCATACAGCACAGCGTAACCCCTCCCCCCCTTCCTACCAGCCAACCTGTTTCCAGTAGCAGCAGTGAGGAAGAGGAGTTCACTCCAGCCACATCAGCAGAAGCTGAAACTGAGAAGGTGGAGCATGGGAAAGATTGGCCAAAGGGTACCGTGTGGCGAGCCACCCGGGAGCTTGAGCAGAAGATCAAGCAGGTGGTTTTGTCGGCGGCCCCCGGATGTCCCTCGCGACACTCCCCCGTCAACACCAGCAGCGGAGAGAGAACTGAGGAGACCTCAACCCACACACACCTCACACCTGATCCAAGCACTGTGTCAACACACCATCACCAGCCTCAGAACAACACGGACGAGGTGGAGAAAGACGAGAGCGTTCCGGCTGAGAGCGAGAGACGACTCGGGGAGGGAGAGCACAGGAACGCCGGGCTCACACACTCCACGCAAAGCCATTCCGGTTCATCTAGCTCTTCTCCAGTTGTGATTCTCCAGCTTGAGGGAATCACCGAGCAGGAGAGTTACACGGACTCTGACTGTCCCCTGGTACGCATGAGAGAAACCTGGGAGACCCTGAAAGAGCTCGGGGCGTTCCTCTGGCAGGTGAGCGGCTGCTCGGACAGGAGGCTCAGCCAGCCTTGGTCGAGGAGGGAGCATAGAAAGGGCCGGGCGACGCGAGAGAGGACCAAAGAGGTGGAGGCTCGGATCCGGCAGGCTGGACTGACCCCACCCTCATTGATGAAGCGCTCTGCCTCATTGGCCAAGCTTGGGTCGTTGGAGCTCTCGACCTTTGACCTGAACGAGCTCGACTTGATTCCCGCCTTACTCCCCGCTCCCACCAATAAGCCACGGCCCCACTCGTACAATGACGATACCTCAAAAAAGAAGCGTGTTTTGCCCCGTTGCACTCCTGCTCTCCCTTCCTCCCCTGCTTCGTCCACTGGATCTCATTCGCCCGGGCACAAAGAGAATAATGACGAGACTGAAGAGGCGGAGTTTAGTGACTGTGACGTCATGCCCATGCCACTGCCACTCTCCTCACCCTCCAGTCAATGTTGGAGGGAGGATAATGCACAGGAGGAGGCAGGTTACGCCCCGTTACCTGCTCCTGCCTCCATACCTGTGGCAACACGCCAACAGTATGGGAGGACACATCCCCTGCAGAGGCTGAAGAAACGAACTGTTAACCCTTACCACACTATGTGACTTTTATTCTGTATGTGTGAGTGTTTGTGCTTGCTAGAGTGAATTTGTGATTTAAAGGGATACTCCACTTTTTTTGGAAATTGGCTCGTTTTACCACTCCGCCAGAGTTAAACAGTTGAGTTTTACCGTTTTCAAATCCATTCAGCCGATTTTCTGATATTTCTAGACAGTTTCTGGTCTCATTGACTTCCATAGTATATTTTTTTCCTACTATGGAAGTCAATGAGACCAGAAACTGTCTGGTTACTGATATTCTTTTAAATATCAGAAAATCGGTGTAAAATCGGTTTCAAAATTTGAAAACGGTGTAACTCTGGGGGAGTTGTAAAATGAGCCCATTTCCAAAAAAAGTGGAGTATCCCTTTAAAGGGATAGTCCACCCAGACATTATAATTCTGCCTACATTTACTGTCAGTACACCTGTACGACTTTTTTTCGGTGTCCAAAACAACCAATGTTTGACCTCATTGACTTTCAATGGATAATCAGTTTTAGATCAACATGAGGGTGAGTAAAGGAGGACAGAATTGTAATTTTTCGGATGAACTGTCCATTTATCTTGCCACGCATACCTCAGTGGGCCTTATCCAACCGGGAAATCAAACAAAATGTGGACATTTTAGAGCACAATGTGATTTGAATGTTTTTGGTGGGATTGATGGCTCAAAAAATAGGAATTGTGTAATCCTGGCCCATCATTTGAGTAGAAAAATTGCTGCTCTGTAGGAACAATGAAGTCAAGTGCTGTGACTGATATACTTTTTGCACAGTTTCTATCAGGTCGCTCTTTGCATACTATGGTAGTACACTACCAATTCATCCTTTACCTGTCAGTCTATGAACGAAAACCACAATGTTTTCTGCTGAATTGGATTCTGGAGGTGTGTGTGAGTATATGTGTGTGTGCTGGGGATTGAAGGAGAGCCATAGATGAGTGTGTTTAAATACATACAGAAAAGAATGACGTAATTGTGAGTGTAAAATTATTCCAGATGTGATATTAATACGTGTATGCATGTTGGTTTAATGAGAATGGGATCAGTTCTGTGGTACTCGTAGAATGTAGAGTTTATGGGCCTCAGTGCGCGTATGTATATTTTGTGGATGTGTATGATATGTATACTTAAACTCTGGTCTGTTTTCAGTGCAGTTTCTTTCTTCAGCATTTTCTGTTTTATTAAAGGGACAACAAAAAAGAGACTTGGGGTATTTTAATATGCACTTTTTATTATTGTTTTACTTTTTTTTTAAACTGTGGTTTGTATTCTGGAAGCATGCTCACAGAGTATGTATTTAGAGTCGCTTGTAAGGGTGTTTGTTGTACGGTGCAGAGAAGAAAGAAAACTGAAATGTTTATTTCTGTTTGTTGTAAGACTGGAAAAATATTTTCTCTTTTTATTGTGCTTAAACTGTGACAATTAAAGAAGATTTCAAATTCACAATGTATTTTTTTGGTATTTTGGGGGAGTGGGTATTTTTTGACCAGACTCCCACAGTCCTAAAAGAAAAACAGAACACTTTGATTTTTATTTAAAAAGTATTATTTTTGATATCTAAAAAATATGTAATCTTAAATGTCATAGTAAATTCATTTTCATACAATTTTTGTAATGAATATATAAACTGTTTCCAAAGTCCCCGCCTTCGACTGCCGCCCGATCCTCTCTGCACCGGCCCCTTACGGCTCCTCCTGGAGGTGGTGAGGCCACGGGGAAGGCGGTCCCACGTCGCTCGTTCGGGCTGAGCCCGGCCGGACCCCGTGGGGATATCCGCGTTGTGCCATGTTGAAGTACAACTCACGTGAAGTTGATAATTCCTCGAATGACAGCAAATTGCAGATTTCGAACAGAGAGGAAAAACTGTGGACTGCAGCTTTAAGTTGAAAGAATGTGAAGAATGTGCCTAAATTATTATCTATTAATAAAATCTAGTAATTTAAAGGTAAATAATAATGATACATTTTTCAAAAAAAAAAATTGCATTAAAAATAAAAATATTATCAAAATGAAATGGAACAATTATCAAAAAAAATTCTGGAAAAAAAAAAAAAAGTAACCAAGCCCTATAATTTTTGGCCTTCATGTCATTTTGACCTTCAAGGGAAGTGTGGGAGAAATTAGTGTTAAATCAAAGTAAAATGCAGGGATTTATGCTGTACGGCCACTTGACCTCAGTGAGTGCTCACTGCAATCTATAGCCCTGTCACCGGCCTGAGAGAAATAGCCCGACACCGACAGCCGCTTCGAAAATAGACAGACCGCCTTGACCCCCCCTGCTCATACTCTATGGCAAGCCATTTTCACATTCAACTCTTTCCCTACTGATGGAATCTTCTAGCTTTCTGTGTTTTCAATGTTAGGGGCGCTGTAACGCATCTTCTGAAAGATTATTGAAGATGCAGAAACGAGTAATCATGAGCATATGTTAAATAACACCATCATCATCATTAAAAAGTATATAAATCAAAACTGCTTAATTTAACTGAATGAAATTTTGACCCTGAACGAGCAACAATGTTGATGGACTCGATCTGTTTTGATAATCATTCTTAATCACATATGAATTTAGTATTTGACAAAAACGTGATTTCTCAGCTTTTTGCTCAAAATGTTGCTTTTTTATGAACTCTGTAGTCTATGTATTTTTGTTTTTTGCTTAAACGAGGGCATTGGCTTGCTGAAAGTCTTTCAAGTAAAGCTTCAGCCACATAGGCGAGTGCCTTTTCACATCCAACAGAAGATTGAAAAGGAGCTGAAACGGCTTGAGGATGACGACGTCATCGAGACCGTCACAGGCCCTACGCCATGGGTGACGCCACCCTAGCCGAACGCCACATCACTCCCAACATGGACGACGTAATCCACGAGTTGAATGGAGCTACAGTCTTCTCCAAGCTCGACCAAGAATGGGAGATCCTCTGAGCTTCAGCGTGCGAGCAACTTGCCACGAAAATGAATAAGTAATGCCAAATTTTAGGATTTATTATTGTACAATAATTGTATTGTAAAATCATATTTACGAAGGCCTAATGACTGTCAGTTGTTTGTGTCTATCTGCTGCAAAATGTCAAGCTGTTTGAATGTGGGAATGTCAACATTTTGTCAAAAACATTTTTACGCATTGTTTTTCCTTATTTCATATGTAGCCAACTATATAGGCTATAACAATAAGGAAACAAAATATGTAAATGTGTTGTCAAAATGGCTTGCCATACATAGCCTATACACCCCATGAGTCCCCTCAATCCATCTCTCTCTCTGTCTCTCTCTCTCTCTCTCTCTCTCTCTCTGTCTCTCTCTCTCTCTCTCGATGTTCAGGAACAACTAGTGAGGACGAACTCCTGCTAGTTTTGTGAGTCTTGTAGCAAGTTTGTGAGCTGGAATAAACGAGACGCTACTTGTCTAAAAGCGCAGCGTCCAGAGGAGCCGTTAACCGCCTCGAGAAAGGGGGAGAGCACATTTAAAGACAGCAGCAGCGAATATTCCCCAAAGACTGAGGTAAGTGATTCATTTGACTGACAGTTATGCAGTTCCTCGTGATGGAATGCTGCATTGTGACGACACGCGCGTCGTCTAGTTTTGTAAAGTTCGATTCTGTTAGTTACGTACAGGCTGTGTGACATCATCATAACATATCAGTGCAGCACGTTCTGCTTGTTCATGGAATATCTATTACTAAAGGCCAGGTGTGCGCGGAATAGCTGAGGCGGTAGCCTATACATTAACGTTGCTATATTTTCATTCTGTCCCTTTGTAAATTTGGAAGGATCTTGACTGGAGGGGACAGAGTGGGAGACACATGGTTAGTTTGGCATGACTATATTTGGAAAGTGACCGTGTCTGAACGAAGACAGAGGGCCTTCTCACATGGACACGCACTGTTGTGTCGTGTGTGGTTTAAAGATACTGCGTTCTGAAGGGGGTTTAACAATTTTATGTGGTGTAGTATCAGTGTCAATTTCGTCTCAAAACTTTGCATGCTGCTGTTACAACTTACACCTAAAGCCTGTAGAAAACATGGATGTTTTAAATTGTGGTAATCATTCAGATATGCTTGTTCAACATAATTGTCATTCCCTAGGCACCTAGAATTTTAATTCAAAATGGTAAATATGGCAAATGTTTTCATTAAAAACAGCCAAAATTGGAAACAAATATAAATGATTACACGACTATATATTAAACACATTACACGATTACTCGGACAGCAATACAGTAGTAATTACATCGTTTTTGAGAGTAAAGGGGCTGAACAAACTGAGGGTTTAAATAACACATGGCAAACTAGTCAATGAAATAGAGAACAGGTGTTCTTCATCAATTAAAAACCAAGGAAACCACAGGAAACTGAACTAAAACAAGAGCAAAACCCACCTAACACAGACAGAATGGTCTAACAATCATATTCATAATCTATTTTACTTTCTCATAATTGTAAATCCTGTAAGCCAAGCTCTGCTGTCACTGCTGGAGGGTCAAACATGACAGTTATTTCATCCCTGTGACTCATTTCTAATTGGTTAAACTGATGGGGTTATCATTCAGTCTGTGTTAAAACACAATGTTTTCAAGGTCTTTCCCAGCCATGACTTGTTCTCTGTTGTTCAGTAGGCGCTATATAGGGTACATTTGTGTTGATGATGTGGAATGATTGTTTGTTTATGTCAATGATCTGTTGAAACTTATATAAATACAAATAATACTCTCTCCTATGACAACTGGGGAAAAAATTGGGATTGTAAAAGAAAAGATAACTACAGTGCACAGTAATATGTTTATAGTTATCCCTGTCTCCATAATATTTCCTCATTATTATTCTTAAATTATTATTATTGTTATTAATAACTATAACAATGTGTTCAATGTTAATACGAGTAATGCTGTATTACTGTAATCTTAATATGAAGCTGTGTATTTAAAACTCTAAACAGGCCAGTGTTTGAGGAGGACCAAATAATTCTTACTGACATTATTAAAGCAATTGCATTGTTATTATTTTAATCAGTTTATTTTGGTTTCATTTACATATTTTTTTTATAAAATATTACAATATGAAGATATACATATATATATATATGTATATACACTGC